GGGAATTCGAAACATATTAGTTGACTTGACTCAGTTACGAATTGGAAGATTATGTTGTTAAGGCTCAGCAGCCAAAGCAATGACACTGGGCTTTCCCCCTTCAAAATGTGACGTGAAACCGTTTCAACGTTAATCTTGCTGATTGAATTCAATGTCACAGCATTCATGATGATTCATGAAAGTTGATTTTTGGAACTAATCATCAATTTCTCTGTTCAATTCCTTTGCTTATGTCAATATTATGAAGTCCAGTTTATTCATCACGTAGCTAAATAGCTTCCTTGAAGTAATCTATGACTTTCCGTAAGATCGTTCAAATTCCAATCTGATGAGTCAATTGCCTCAATGCATAATGTACTGTCTACCCTACCAAAACAAAGACTATGATCTCTAAATCGACGTGATCAAAACAGTTTCGCTGGCTTCATCTCCTTCATTCCCTCTTTTCTTCAATGTAAACAAAAATATTTATTCACTCCCTCAGTACATCGTCTCTAATAGACGACGAATTCGTTAATATAACATTGATGAATTGGTTACTATAATATTCGGAAATAACGATAAGTCATCTCACAGGCCTCTTGCTACAAAATTCAATGAACGTTTACATTAACTGAAAACAATCATAAGTTCCAGAAGTGATTCAAAAAAAGTAATTCTTTTCCAGTGAGTGGATGTTTCCTTGACAACTAAGAATCTCGAAGTACTAATTCAAAATGATCACGACGACATACCCATGAGCCATCGCATCATTTCGTCGAGGAAATAATCACTCGATTGGTCGCAGTGAACGTATGAATCTGACGTGCTTGGACATGCCTCAAAAATATCAATTTGTCATCAAGTTCTCGCACTCCAAATCGGTGCTTACAAGTGATCAGCAAATTTCGCTATGAAATAGTGCTTTTGAAAAATCCAGTGCTGAGAAAGTATTTGTATGACATGATCCAGTAGGTGTCTTGTATTGATCTATTTTTATTGTGAGTGTTATTTGTAAGCAATGGAAGGAGAATTTGATGAAAGAGTGAGGTATTTAGAAGACGTCGGAATGTTTCCTTAACCATAGAACAGTCAGGACTGATTTCAAAAAGTTCAAAAGTTAATTCGCATATTCACAGGATAACGCAACATATGACGGAAAAGTCAATAGAACAGCTCTAACAAATATTTCGGCCGAAAAAAGTAAACATGCATGTATTTCATAATGTAATATGTAAATAATCAACGAGCTGGCAGTTTTGTTGACTCAGTGAGTCAGCAGTTTATTACGCAATTCGTTGTGGTTATTTCCATGTTTAGTCGTTGATCTAGGTTTTCTCACCTAGTGATCGTTGGATTGCGCAATTGCATTGAGTGATCCTTGATTAGTTGGTAAAATGAAAGCAAAACTTAGCGTCCGAAAGTGTTCGGCTAATTGTGCATTATTGATGAGATATTGCCTACAGCTCATCATTATTGTTAAGAAGATTTGATGGTTGCAAATACTCTGTGAACACTCGATGAAATACTTTGTAAAATTTTTTTTTTCTTAAACGGGCTCGACCCTAAACAGAGTCGCTTGATTATGACGCTCGTTTCATTGGCACCGCACCACTCACCTTAGTCGCCGACTGACCAAAGAAACTCGACCGTTGCATTGTACCACCGAAATTCATATTGCTACCTGAGCCACGGCCAAACAACGACTGCCGAAGAACCAGACGATAATAAACACCGGTTCGCATCCCCGGACTAGGATTTTGCATTATCTACAATAGCGTTCTCGTTCTATTGATCAGTTCCACTTATAATGACAAATTCAACTTAGAGTTGAACCACGTGACAACGGTCTTTTTCATGTGCATCATCGTTGTAAAACAAAAGCTTTTTTTGTAGAATACAGCCATCTTTGATTTCCGTTTGGAATTATAACAAACAAATTTCTGATCCATCTTGATGTAATTGTTTCGTTGCACACTCTGTATTTCTCCCTTTTCTCCCCGTCTCTCGAAAAGTTTCTTCGAGTGATTGTTTACTTATTCATTCATACCTGTTGTTTACACAAATACGGCGCAATCATAGCCGGATCTTGTTGTTTCGGCCAGTCTGTACTTTCAACTCCAACATTGATTGTTGGACCTTGATCCAGCACGGTTGCGAATGTTATATAGCCATTAACGGATAACTGAAATTGTTTGTTCACAGTAATTGAAGAGGTTCTCCTTTCGTTACAGGTTCAAGTATAGCTGTTAGAAATCCACCGGCGAAACTTGAGTTTCAAATCGAATTTTGTTATTTTTGAAATTTTCAACTGAAAAAAGTTTCACTGTCGATTCTTCAACTAAGTGTATCAATAAAACCATTTGAGGCAAATATGCCGTACGTTAGGTTCCTTGGCTGGATTGTGACTCGAATATTTGCCGTTTTGAGCTATTATAAACACAATCAAAAATCAAAAATCGCTTGTTGGTACATTGTTATCATTTCGCATCAAAAACATCTTTCGCAAATACGGAATAACCGAAAGCTACTCGCCAGAATAACATTCTGGTTGACTACTGAATGAATCATTGGAATGCGAAATCTGTTCGACATAATAACGTTTTAGTTGACTACTGAATNAACGTTTGATAGCCTGGCCGATACAGGTAATACAGGTAATAAACACAATCAAAAATCAAAAATCGCTTGTTGGTGCATTGTTATCATTTCGAATCAAAAACATCTCTCGCAAATACGGAATAACCGAAAGCCACTCGCCATAATAACAATCTGGTCATGAGTCATTGGAATGCGAAATCTGTTCGACATAATGTTTTGGTTGACTACTGAATGCAGCAAACGAATATTCATGAAACTCTTGATCAGTGCCCTTTACAGGAACAAATTGAGTTACTAGCTAATGAAAACGGCCGCAACGGAATGGTGACGAGATACCAAAACACAGTACTAATAGCAGTTTGGAAATGTACAAAAATTTCACAAACCGTTGAATAGTTATAAAGTCCACCATAAAATGGAAAGAACATATGCAAATCAATGGTTTGCCCCGAAGTAAGCATACCAGGATGTACTTTTTGATCACCAGCCTCTGGACCGAATGGTACCAAATTCACTGAAACATGTGAATCGTATGAAACTTTCACTTGATCACATGAAATTTCGCAAATTTTAATGTCATAATGCATGAGCAGATAAGGTCACACAACAGGTGTGGAAGAATGAAACTTCATTAAGAAATTTAAACCTCCATAAATGGGATTGTTACCGACCCCAGTGAACAACTGTCCAACTTCTGGGGCAGGCTTCACATCCTGAGGTTGTTGTTGAGCGGCACATATTCGTAGAGAGACGGTTGCCGTCACAACAAGAAAAGCAAGCCGAAAAAGGCTCGCTGCAGGGGCATGCATTCGTAGTCGTTGCCTCATCATTCGTATCAGCATAATTTTGTTCAGGCGATTGGAAGTAGCCTCAAGGGCTCTTGTTTGATAGCGTTCAGTCTTCGACTACGCTGATCGGGTCGTTTCTTCACGAGTTCAGTGATTCGTCAAAATGATTTGACTGCTTACCTACAACTTATTAATGACCAAATAACACCACCTCGAAAATATGTGTTTCTCAAATTGATCAACTTCGATTGATTGAATTACTGAGAGAGTGCGATAAAGTGCGATATCGCTAGTCTACTAAGCGATTTGTTGTGAGAAATGCGTATGAATTCATTCCATTATATCGTACTAATCAGGACCAAACACTAGACGGAATCGGAAACATTTAGTGAAAGCAGGGAAAATTTTACGAAAACGACAACCTTCTACTATAATTACAATAATTTTTCGAATTCCGTCGCCTTTCAATGCACATAATAGGCAAACGTGAAAGTGTGACATAAGCGGTAACATGAGATGTTGAGATGACTGTACGACATCAAAAGACAGCGCCATCTGTGAAACTGAGATCGTTTTGTGAATTTTGTTGTTTTGAATCGAGCACAACTGCTTTTGTTCGGTAAAAATGCCCCAATAAATAACCGTATTCACACGCATTATTTGCCATAGAAAAATCATGCACACAAAAGAAGTTGTACGAACATGAATAATAGTGCTAATCAATTGTGAA